GAAACTTAAAAGAAAAATGGTCCAAGCAAGCAAAGTCACATAGGCTACAAGGAAGTGCAAAAGCCAAGTCAACTTTGATGCTGCCAAAATTGAGGTGGATGCAATTTAAAGGATTAAAGGAGTTAAAAGTCCCTCCTTTAAAGGTCCTAAATGGATGCCAACTCACCCAACACATGGAGGCTTCAAGAAACACCATTGGTCCAATTAAGCAAGCTTACATAAAAGGTGAATGAGATGGATAAAGACACCATAGGAAGTCATGTTTTTGTAAGGGGGTTGCTACTCTCCTTTTGTCCAGCAAATGAGGGAGTTGATATTGCTTTTTAGAGACCAAAGGTTGGCTTAGAATTATCCTAGGTTTTACTATGAAAAGAATATGATAGGTTCGAGACAAGGGAGCGACTGTTTATATATATTTTTTTCTTTCTTCCTTGCCTCATGTGAGGCTTAGCAAGCAACAGCCACTATTGGCCTTGTTGAGCTTCTTTTAGGCTCCATTTACTTTGTTTTTCTTGTATTTAAAGAGTCTTGTTCATGCTTTTAATGTACTTTTCAGGTACTAAGCCTACTCTCAAAGTTTATTCATGTTTCCTATAAGTTTTTCTCAATGAAAATTCATCTTCCTTGTTCGATTTTTTGAGCCTTGTTATGCTTTATGTTTGAGCTTATATTTCCTTGAAAAGGATAGTCCAAGGAGGTACCTAACTTGAGAGATCATGCAAGGGGCCTAAAGGACTTGACGCCTTATTTAGTTCATCTTATTTTCAAGTTTTATTCAATGTTTTTATTTTCTGTTCAGACTTTATTTATGAGTTCATTGAGCTTGGTTCAGTTGCCATTTTCTTGTTATTTCACCTAACTTTCAAGCTATTCCATCAATCTTTGTATTAATTTAGGCCTTTTCATTTTTGGCTTTTATTTCACTTGCTTTGCCTTGTTCCTTAAAAATTATATGTAGTTTTTAGAGCTTGTTCTCATGCGCTTTTGTTCAGTTTTTGAAGTAGGCTGCCTATGCATTTTTTGTTTTTTTTTTTCAAGTCTATTTTGAATCCATGTCTTTTGTTTTTAAGTTTCATTTAGGTATTTTTAGTTTCAGTAGTATTTAATCCTCTATGTTCTTTTTAAAGTTTATTTTAATGGTCTATCTTGCTTAAATCATGCACATTGAAGGTCTTGCATAGTAGGTTAATGTTCATGCTCATTTAGGGTTTATTTATACATTGTTTGATATTGTGTTTTTTTTTTTTTTTTGTCATTTGTGCTAGGTTTTAGGATTTGTTATAGCTGCTGTCCGGATTCTGTTTTCCACTTAACTTGCTGCCTTTAAATTTCATTTTTAAACCTTTAATTTACAATGTTGATTACTTCCTTTGTCCTTAGTGCCTTAGTGTTAAATTTTCTTAAATTTCATGTTATTAAGTAGTTTGTGTTGTGTTTATTTGCAGCCATGCTTCTTTCATATTCAATTTATATGTTAGATTAGACCCATATTAGTCTAAATTTTATGCATTTACTCATCATGCAATTTATCTTTTTGGTTCATGCATTTTTCATGCCATTTAGGCTTTATATTTAGGGTAAACTTACATTTTTATTTCTTTGCTTACTTAGTTTACTTCGTGCATTTTAATTTGTAAATTTCAATTTCATGTTAGTAGTTAATTGTTAATTTAGAGCCTTCCCATCTAGGATTTAGAAATTTTCTATTTTTAGAAACTTTTTTTATTTATTAACTTTCTATTAAGTTTTAGGGATAATTAAGTAACTTTCATAATGTGTTATTTATTAGGTTTAAATTCACTTGAAAAATTTTTAAGTTTAATTCATGTAGGGTAATTTAGTAATTTTACCAAAATCTCTTTTCGAACCAAACATATCTAGAGTATCCAATTTGAGCAGTTTGTTCAAAAACCCAATCCCTATGGAGACGATTACCCCTATACTTATATATTACTCATACAAACTGTACACTTTTGATACTCCTATGTGGCACCCATCACTCTTCCTAACTTATATATGTGATATGGACTTTTCTCTTGCACAGTGATGTTGCTTTTGTTGTTTTATCACCTTCATGCCAACTATTTTTTCTTCGGAAGCATTATTGTCTTTCTTCTTATCAATGATTTTCTCATATAATGGAGAACTGCTAGTCCAGTATTTGCTGGAGCTTGCATATCTTCTGCACTTCCTTTCCAAGTAATGTATCTCCTGGATTTGAGATTAAAAGTAGTCAAGTTTATTATATATTTAAACGTCTAGATGGCGAGTCTTCCTCATGATTTCTGTAGCTTGATACTAGTTTGACTGTTGGGAAAAGGAGTTGAGTTTAGTCACTTAGTTCAATGCCCATAGTTTCTCCAATTACGTCTATTTTATATCATTTTGTGATTCCATTTGTATTTTTTGTAACTGGCACAGACCATATCTTGGTAGAAATTTATGCATTGGCTGATATTCTGTTTCCTTAATTATTTTACAGGTGGTAGTTTGTTCCAAGAACAATAGTGTTTGTTCCTTCAACATGGTAAAGGTGGGAACTTATTCGATTTAAGTGTGGACAAGAAAAGTTGATTTTTCGCCATCACTTATGCCACTGCTTTTCTGGTTCAAGCACCACTCCTTTTGTTATTTTTTGCAATGTCTTAGAACTCAATCTCATGCCAGACAAAATGCAAGAAAATCAATCAGCAGTGCTGATCTAATGATAATTAATACTTCATCCCAATTGAATGTCTTGTCTTCTATATTGAGATGCGGTAAATTCACCTTTTCTTTATTTGAAATTGATTCACATATTTTAATACTTAATTTTTTCACAAAGTCTTAAAATTTTAATATTAAAGTGAGTTACTAAAATTTCAATGCAAAAATTTAAAAGCCATAGCTTTCTCCTAAAATCTATTTTTAGCTAGTGAAAGTAATATTATTGTTTTAAATTTGAGGAGGGATCCACCTATATTAATGTAAGAGTTACACATTTTTTTACCATTGAATCTAAATGATTATGTGTAAATTATGAATTTAATTTTGATCTAAAAGTATATATATGTATTTTTTAAATTTTATTAAAGGTATCAGATTTCATATAGGAAGAGGAGTAAAGAGGTAAGATTTTGAGCTCTCAGCTATCTATAAATGCTTAAATTGAAAAATGTTTTTGAAAAAAAAAATTAATAGCATCAGTTGATTCATGATTCATCGACGACAAAGTTTTGACTATGAAACAAAGTTTATATTCTATTTTATAGTCAAACAATCTTATCATTCTCTCTTCTATTCCCAAGTTCAGCCCATTCCTAACCCATTGTCTGTCTTTGACAAGTCTCTGCTTGCATTTGCGTAATGCTGCATTTAAGTCTTGAAATCTATTCCTGCATTTGATAGCGTGCCTCCTACATTTGCCCATCTTCAAGATTTCCCTAACTTTGTAAAAAAATTACTCACACTTTGCAAACTTCGCAATAAAGGAAACTTCTTAAAATTTTAAAAATTTAAAGAATTAAAGCTCTAAACACTGAAGCTTTTAAAAACTTAAAAGAATTGATGAATACATCTTGCAATTGATATCCTATCTTCAAAAGTGTTGGAAAGGCCCTATTTATAATTGGAAATTCTTTCGAGCCTTTTAAAATTGGTTGAGAATTGGAGACTTAAAAAATTTTTAAGCTGTCAAGATACATAGGATCTATTCTTTTATTAAGGAAATTGATCTTTTCAAGTTAAAATTTAAAAATATAGTCGTTAAAATTTAGAAGATTGATCATTTATCAAAAGTGACTTTAAGCATTTTAGCTTTGGAGAAAACTATATTTTGAAAATAATCTATCTTTTTAAAGAAGGAATTGATCACTTCTTCACAAAATTGAAAATTTAAGTAATTTTACTTTGAAAAAATGTTGACTTTATCTTAAAACTTAATTGAAAAAATAATTCACTTGACAAAATCATAATTTTGAGGAAAAGGCTTAGTCCTAAACGTTAAACCAATTTTTAAAGTAATTTTTTTGAATCCAATAATATAGAGCTTAATACAATTTTCTTTTCAATAACAAAAGATTTAATTAAAATAATGCTAAAATTATATTTTAAATTTATGGCAAATATTTTTCTTTAATTATCAATTGAACTTGTATTTCCAAGTGAAGCACATAAAAAATTTCATTTTAAAAACCGTATTGAATCCTAAACAAATTTTCATTAAAGCAATAACTAAACTTACATTTAGATTCAGATAAAGTAATCTTTAAAGAAAATTTTTTGTTTGAAAAATACACAATAATTTTAAGCAAATTTGGTGTGAAAAACACATTTAGTGTTATCATTTCGAAATAATGATCAATTTAAGACATTAATTATGATATACTAAACAAAGTGTGATAAGTTAATATGTGAAGCAATCGTTGGAAGTGGCTATTAAACAAGTGGATGGATCTCTTTTTGCATGAATTATGAACCTATTGATGAATCTACAAATAGTATTTGAATCGGTAGTAAGAAGCAATTTTGTAGAGCTTAACCGGCTGCATTACTATCATCTCTTCATGCATTATACTCCTAATAATATTACAAAGAGTTTTGAAGGGATGATAGAGATTCAGATGCTTCATAGTTATCCTGTGAAAGTGAAAGTAATGCATCCAAATTTTTATGTACAAACTATAGATCCCAGTAATCAGCTGAACTTTTGTCATGGCTTAGACCTCTGTTTTTAATTGCAATAATTCTAATGTCCATATCTACATCCCCCCCCCCCCCCCCCCCAAAAAAAAAAAATGTATGACATCCATTTAATGATAAAATATTGTGGATTTTCTGGTATAATGCATCATTTAATACTTTGTTTCTTGCTATTGAGAGATTGGGATAACAGTTTAACATATTTATTTTTAATAAAATTCAAACTACTCCCTTGAAAGCATCGACAAGACATCTCCCTCATGACTTGCGTCCCGACTTGATTTCACCTTTATATTGCAAATTAGCAACAAATTTAACAAGGGATTCTTGATTGTAGGAGCATACTATAAATGCACAAATGAGAAACCATGCAATCAGCACATTCTGGCACTTGCTGAAAGATTAGCGGATTTCAGGATTACGAAGCACTTTAATCAACAAGGATTCTGTTAATAAAACTCAGGGAAATTTTGAAGCAAAACCAAGTACATTTGCACATAGGAACTACCAACAAATTCAGAAGCAGAAGAAATAATAGCAAATTTATGGTAGATATTTAAGGGGCAAAAAATCAAACAGAGAATTCCTATGGGGACGCATTTTGGAGCAGCTGGGTGGAAGCAGAGGTGGGAGTAACTAACATAAGTTTTGTTGCCGCATATAAACAAATGCAAAAGCTCAAACTTCAGCTTGGAATGGAGCTGCATAGGTATCAATATATATGTTAAACAGAAGCTATAAAACCTCCAAATTAAGAATTTTAGTTTCTAACCATTGAAAGATCCCTTGAAGATTACATAGAAAGACCTATTGAATTGGCTATTCAAGTTGAAAAAGGAATAGGCAAAAAGGAACTCAAAAAGAAAATTTAGAAATATTTCCTTTCACATGTGTGCATACTAGACTGCTGCTTAAATTCCAATTCTCGAAAGGTGTTATTAAAAGAGTTAGAAAATATGGTTTAATGTCGATTGATTCACCCCCTTATCTATGAAATGAAAGACAAATAAGATCTGTAAAGTACACAAATCTCGAGTACTTACCCTAAGTCCTCAACAAAAATGACAGGAAGAGAAGTCTTGTTTTCATTTTCTCAAATCCTTGAACTTCTTCATTGAATGAACCGGATGCTGCTCCTTCTTTCTCCCCATGCCTGATAAACTTTTCTTTGACATCTTTAGGTCAGAGGGCAGTTGAACTTGTTTTAACTTCATCTTGACTGATCTTACCATCGAAGACAAGGCATGCTTCTCCTTCGATGACAAAATATCAGACTTCTCATGCTCAACTTTGTTCATCCCAGGATCACCTGATGGGAACTGAGCATTTTTGGGCATCTTCTTGTCCTCCACAGCCAATTCTTGCTGTTCACCCTTCTGCAGCTTTTTTGCTATTTGCCGAGCGTAAGTTGCACTCCTACAACAAACAACCCCTATGCTTTAGCCAGGCAACACATATCAATAAAAGATCCAGAAACTTGCAAAATTTAAACTCAGTGCAGTGTTATCTTGTTGGTAAATCAACACACTAGTTCAGACAAGAAACAAGGTAAAACAATTTTCATACACAGTTGAGCGTTCTATCACCTGGTTCTTTTGTCCTAAATCTCTTTTAAAACAAATCTAAATTTGTTTTCTCATAATTACAGTTTACTGTTACCTTTTGAACTGTGGGTCAGTGGGATCCAAAGCATAGAGAGGCGACGTAAAAAGAGAAGAAAATCGTGGATCATCATCAACAACCGGTAGTTTTTCCTCATCTAGAACTTCTTTTCTCGTTTTCCCCTTAGCCTTTTTAGGCTTTAGATTGTATCCCTTAAGATCAGTGTCAGCTCCCTTGTCATCAGTTAGTAATAACTCAAGTTCTGCTCTGGTTGCGTTGGCTTCCTTCTCCACATTTTCAAGTTGCTTCCTTTTTTTCTTACTCTTAAAAGGCTCTTCAACAAAGAAGTCATCAGGTTCTGTAGCTTCTTTATCAGACTCATAACTCTCATCTTCTGATGAATATTTAGATTTATTTTTCTTGGCCTTCCTTTTCTCCTGTCTTTTCCTTAGATGGGCCTCCCAAACTGTTTCTGCTTCCTTATCTTTCTTCTCTAAAATGCGCTTACTTATATCCTCCAGGCCAGTATTGAAAGTGACTTCCATATCCTGGCCATCATCCTCACCATCTTCATCAGAACCATCACCAGACTGAAGTAAGGCACGGTATATATCTCTTTTTTTATTTTTCTTATCAGATTGATCCTTTGCGGTGTCTTCATTCTCATCATCATCACTTTCACTCTCATCAGAAGCCAGAAACTCCTTCAACTCCAATTCAGCCAGCTGCACGAAAACAGAAGCAGTAATAAATCAGATAAATGTCGATGAATTTAAAAAAAAATGGAGTGCAAAAAGTGTAGATGCTATTTTCTTGTTCTTGCCATGACTGTTTCATTGATTTCAACATCCTCAACATTTATTGTTGTCAGAAGTGTTATTAACACAATCATCATTTTGCCCAAGTACATAAAAAAAGATTAACTAACACAGAGGGTAATCCAAAGAATGAGAAAAGAAAGATTTTCAATCCCATATAAACACAACTATCAGCCATTGCCCAACAAATTAACTGCTAACATTTATAAAACTGAAAGAAAACAACTGACAATCACTTGGACAACAGAACAAAGAAGCATTCTGAAATCTCATATTTAGAGAAAATCATGAAAGTACCTTCTAGAAGGACCTCCAAAGCCAACAAAAAAAAAAGTTAAGACTGATTAAATTTTATCTCCACTGGAAATCTTGAAAGCACCTTCTACAGGATAACTCCAAAACAAACAGAATATAAAACCTATGCAAAAGACTTCAGGTGAAATGTTTATCCGGATTGCTATAACTAAGTCGGTAGAATGGAGGACAAAAAAAAAGAAGCATACAATGTCTTACACTGAATTTCACAGAAAACAGATGAACCATTACAAAATAGTTCGCATTACAAATTAGGTGCACTAACCTGTTCAGCATTGAATTTTCGTTTCAAAATTTTCCCACGTTGTGGTTCATCTTCATCCCATGAAAGATGAATTTTACTTTGCTGCAGTGCTTGTGTATGGAAATTTAAACCCTCATAGTCTGCAGGTGCCTGAGCAAAGAAGAAGATATTTACATTTAGAAGTCAGTAGTAGGCTTAATTAGGTCCTAGGTTACGAAATTAGTCAACATTTAAAAATAACAATAGCAATAGCAATATGGAACTATTTTTTAGTTATCTTCAATTTGCTTGGATCTCTTTCTAAAGGTAAAAGATCTTGTAAAACCCTATAGCCCATGTACAAAACATAAGTAGAATGAATGTAACAGTCAGACAGATACACCTCTGTTGCAACATCACGGGGTGCATGTTTAAATTCCATAGAGTCAGGAACGAATCTCAAATCAAGCACATTTGATGACCTTTCAAACTCAGCTCCATCACAAGATTTGTACAAGTAATCTGCTGTTGCAGTAGAATCACATTCTACTACTGCATAGTAGTATCTGGAAGGACAATCAATAATGATTATAAGCAAAAAGAAAAGTAAAACATCACCTCATAGCATATGCATGTTCATTAGAAAAGACATAAATCACAATATCACATTGTAGTTTAAAACAACAAAGAACCAATATGTAACATAGAAACCAAGCTTAAGAAAACATCGTCCAGATTGCACATCAGTATTTCAAGAATTCATTGGTCAACAAGAGTCACAACAATTACTAAAGAGAAAGAAAAAGGAAAGAAAGAAATATAGAAGATATCATTGAACAGTAAAAATGACATTTAGTGGTAATCACCTTAGCCTACTTTTCTCATATGCACGCAATTTCTCATTATCAATTTCATCATCACCATCTTCATCATTTTCCTCATTTTCACCATCAAATAGCCCTACTGGTCCATGAATTTCCTCTTCTCTCATACACTGAATTCCAAACTCAGATGGATAAACAGCAACTGAAATAATTTGTCCATCTTTAGGGAGAAACGAGCTTAGCATTACATACAAGTCAGCAGCCTACATATCAAAAAGGGTAGAAAATCAGTCAGAAGTCAAGCTGATTTGCAGTTTGTCTACAACCAAATTACAACCCTCAATACCCTAACTGATCAGAACAAATATGGGAAGATGGAATTCTTGGATATGGTTCAAGCTGCAATGCCCAAGATACTTGCATGATAACCAAAGGCTAAGATTCTGAGCAATATTTTCCTGAAAAAATAATGTGTACCCTTGACTTCAAAGTTGACTCAAAAAAAGAAAAACTAGGAAACACCATAATCCAAAGCAAAAAATTCTTATGATAAAAGTATCTTGATTTAGCTGAGTTCAATGATTTTTTTTTTATAGAAAGAACAGCATCTTTTAAAAATCAAACCACATAAAATTGATACCTTAAGAAATACTATTCAAATTACGACTCATAGTAGTAATAAATAAAAAATCAATACAAAGATAATATTCATTGAAGGGAAGTATGACGGATTTATTTAATTGGATCTATCATTTGCTATTATGTAACCTCACCCTACAGTGACACAATAAATTGAATTAACTAAGTTGAATATAAATGCAAGTACCATGACATATACAAATTAAATTACATAAACAGGTCAAATTGCCAAGAGAATTCATTCCCTCAAAGAAATTCTAATTTCTCATAAAAAAGAAAATATGCTTTTGCATTCAAAATAAATAACTTGAAGTAAAATTTTAATAGCTATTAATTGGAATACTTTATTAACTTACAACATTTCATGGGCAATCACCACTTATAGAACAGTTTCAGGTTTTAATAATGGATAGAAAACGTCTATTGGTTGGTGTCATATACACAATTCAACCCATACATGTCACTTTGAACAAATAGAAGAATGATACAATTCAACAGTAAGCTCCAATAACATACCTTAACATGCCTCCAATCCATATTAACAACAGCAAGCCTGCGGGTTTCCTTTTCAATCATTGGGACATTTTCTTCCTGGCAAGTAACCAATATAAAATAATCAGTGATTCAGTCAAAAACAATAGAACAGCAAGTACTAGCAGTTTATGGCAAAGCTTTTAGAAGATTATGAAAGAGTTTAAATTTGCAGATTATATATCATAAAGTTCAAAATCTGCATCTTTACATCTTAATTCTTAAGTGACACTTTTTTCAAATGTTGTCTTTTTAACTAGAAAACATCAGTTATCAATCTTAACAACAAAATCAAGACTAAAACATAGATATTAAAAATAAAATAAATTCAATATCATCATTGATTTCCTTGTATCCAATCTCACAGCAACCAATGAACAAATTAAGTGCAATCATTTAATTGAAACCAAAAGAGCATAAAAAAAGATTAGAAAGGGTACCTGTATTTCAGGCTCTCCATCCTCATAAACTATATCGACATCTTCCTCATCCGTAGTGGAACCGGATTCTGATCCCTTCTCCTCCTCCTTTTCTGACTCCAACATTTCACTGCTCTCACTCTCCTCATCAAACTCCTCGCTATCACCCCCTTCACTCACAACGTCTTTCTTTCTTTTCTCTTCTTCTTCATCATCATCTTCAAGGTGATAATAATGGCGAAGAGAGCTCTGTGCCTTTCCCTTCTTAGGTTTCCCTCGCTTATCCATAGGTGCGGAAGACGGGGCAAATTTCTTGTCATTGAACATCCGATTAAAACGAGAATCAATGACAACCTTCGTCTTGTGCCTCGGAACCTTCTGGAACCGAGGGTCCGAGTGCAGGGATGCAAATCGAGCGTCCGTAATGATCTTGCTACTGCTCTTTTCATTTTTGTTGGTGTTGCTATATTGCGTTGAGAGTGTAGAATTAGGTTTGTTCTTGTTCTTTTCCTTATTTTTGGTCTTAAGGCCTTTGTTTTTGGATCCCATGCTTGATTCTGTTTTAAATCTCGCTCCGCTCGCCGCTGGATTTTGTCCCTCTGTTTTATAAAACAAAAGATTCAAATAAGAACTTGAAAAAAACTAATCTTGCTCCAAGGCCCAAACACAGTATTATTATTTATATTCATAGCTGACAAAACCTTAAGATTAATAAGATAGTTTAATTCCCATTCAATCCAGAAAAATAATCATGAGACAGTAGTTCAATTGGGGAAGCAAAAGCAACACAACTCACTGGGAAAGACAAAGACCAAGACCAAACGAAAAGAAACGACAAAGCTGCAGCTTCCAGCCGTGGAGCTAGTCTACCTCACTTATCGCCGCTTTGAGTGGCAAAGCTTAGTGGCGCACGGGATGACAAGCGTAACGTAGCAAGGAGCTGCCGCTGTGAGTTGGTGCGGTTCAGCTTGAAAGGGTAGAGAGAAGCGAAGTTAAAGCCTGATGATCGCAGTTGGAGGAAAGAACGCAGGCGATCGAAGCAACCCTATTTCTATGCCCTAATAAAATTAAAACAAAATTTTAAAACTGTCAAATACAAGTTTTGGACTGTGCGTGTTATGTTAGCCTTATGGGTTCGGACTGTATGGGACAAATGAATTTGGGCTTTAAAAGCCTAAAACTATGAATAGATTTAACTTCCTAATATATTTTTAAGCCCAAAACTAGAATTAGATGTAACTGCATAAATTTGGTCCATGGCCGAAATTTATGATTTCATTTTATTATTGTTAGAGATCTCAATTTTACTTATATCCAATAAATAATTTAATTTTTTATTGAGACGAGAATAGATATTGTATTAATGGGATAGTGATGGAAATGAATATAATTTTAAATTTTTTATCGAATCAAGAGATAAGAACAAATAATATAATACCTGCCTTATACCTATAACATATATATATAACAAATAAATTTTTAATTAAATAATATAAATTATTTTTTAAAATTAATTGGAAATATATTTCTATTTAATATATATGTTAATATATATTTATAAAAATATTACAAAAATATGCAAGATATAAATAAAAAAAGCTAAAAAATAAATTTTATTCTTTATCTTTTAAAAAAAGATAAAGGTACCTACAAGGTTAAGGATTGAGATAGATATAATATACTCATTGAATATAAATACGAAAATGGATATAATATAAAAATTCAAGAATGGGAATGAAGAATATTTTATCAATTTCATACCCTATCCATTGATATCCCTAATTCTTGTCTCATTTTATGATTTTATTTTTTTTTTTGAAATTTCTAATCTATCCCTAACCTCTTATATTATACTTATCTAACTGAAAAAAAAGGTAGCAATAAGTCGAAGTCAAGTAAGTTTTTACTCATTTCGAATCTAGCTTGACCTTTTAAAAATTAAATTCAACATCAGGCTATTATTTTTTTATACTCACTTTGATCCAACACATATTTGTATGATTTGCATACGACTTGATTCTAACTTAAAATTAATTTAATGATTTAATTTAGTATTATATTCATAAAAATATTATTTTTAATATATATTATATCTTAATTATATATAAATATAATATTTTTATTAAATTAATATTTTAAATGAAAATATTAAATAATAATTTTATTAATATATAAATATAAAATTAAATAAATAATAAAATATATATACCGAGGAAGTCAAGGTGGAAGACCTAAAACCTACCTCTAACCCAACCTCAATTTAAAAAAAAAAAAATTCCAACCCGTCTTTGAACGACCTCTTATTTGTAAAAAAAAAAAAAAAAAATTCATACATATAAAATCAAAATAAATCAAAATCCATCTGATATAAATTATTTTATCATCTCTAAGTGAAGATGTCATAATATGTATAAACTTTTTCAACCACAAAATACCAATGAAAACCAATTAATCGAAATATCAATTAGCATATATATATATATATATACACATATATATTTATATATATATATATATATATCTTTACTTACTAAATATAAAAAAGCTCATTTAGGCATATTAGTAGAAATGCCAACAAATTTGCTCATGAATAAGCAAAGTTTGATTGTCAGCCAAGGAAACATAGATGTTGGAAAAGTTTTCTTCCGATACTTATTTGTAACAATTACTAAAATGATCTTTAATTGCTTGATTTAGTGGTCAAATAAGCCTTAAAGAAGACATAGAGTTAGGGTTGAACCCTAATCTCCCTCTCCCTCTTTGATGTAAGACTCTGCTCTTCTTGAAACCAAAAAAAAAATAGCGATTAAAGTGATGAGTGGATTATTAATATTATTTTATAAAAAAATATTAAAAAGCTCAAATTGAGTTTTTTTCGGTAAATCAAATTGAGTGATTTTTTTTTTTATTGAATCAAGTGGTACTAATTCAACTGAAAAAGTTAATCTTATGCACACTCATATTTATGTGAAATAAATAAAAATTTTATTACTTAAAATGTAAAAGAGAAAAAAAATGGTTAACTAACGTATAAGTTTTTAAAATGAAAAAAAAAAAAAAAGTAAAAGTGGTCACTTTTATCTTTTTATTATAACATTACAAGTTATCAATTATAATAAAAAATTATGTAAAAATTCATCACTTAGAAAATATATATTTTTTAAAAATATTTAATAAATCTATATAATATTAAATTATAATTAATTATATTATATTATAAATAATTATAAATAATATGCTCCAACTTTATTGTAGATTTAGCGTTGGGAGTTTTGATGCCCGCCACTCCTTGGTCAGATCCGGCACGACAAGCATTATAAACACTTGTTATTTTAATTATTAGCTTAATTAAAATTTTCATACATTAATTTTAGTCTTTGAAGGTAAAATAAGTAATAAAAAAGCATTAAATCAATTAATCTACATGAAATTAAAATTAAGTCTCCATTTTTTAGAGGGTTGAATTACTGATGATTAATCTTTTTATTATGCATTTTTTTTGGGAATAAATTTTGAATTTGGCATGAGTGAGTTTGACTTATGTCTTTGTACTTTAATTTAGTTTTATTAAAATTTGTCAATGTATTTTTTATTTTTTGTGATTCTTGGATAAAAACTAAAGTATATGAAATATTATGTAAAATATCTGATTAATATATTTAAAATAAATTTTTAATAAAATAAAAAATATGAATTGGATATTCCTTTAGCAAAAAATTTTTTTATGTGTTCTTTTAATGAAATTTTTATTAAAATAAGTTCTTTCTAAATATTATATTTAAATATATATTTAAAAAAAGATAATTTTAATTAATCAAATTAAAATCAAATTTTTGTCTGTTTTGGTTGATAGTTAGTATAAATAATTTTATGGCTCATTACGAAAAGTCTATATTATGATGTGACATGGTGAATAACAGGGGCAATTGGTGAGGACTTACTTTTTCTGACACGATTGTAACGGGGCATTTGCGGTGTGGATAAGCTGAGAGCTTCATGGGATTTAGGACTATAATTAAATCGAATCAAATGATATAATGAAATATTTGAGTTTATGTTCGATTTTTTATTTAATGTTTGATATTTGATTTAAATTTGATTAAATTTTATTTTTTTAGTTTAAATTTGATTTATAATTAAAATCGAATTATTTAAATTCACTCAATTAAGTTCGATTAATATATTAAAATAAGTTAGATTCTTATATTTAATAAGAATTCGATTATTTGTACTCGAGTTTGAACTCGAATTTGATATATTTTATTAATTAAAATAATAATAAAATTTAAATATAAAGGTTCAATTAAGCTCGTGAGTTATTCGAACCGGATATAAAAATATTTGAACTCGACTCAATCGATAAATCGAACTATTCGAATTCAAATTTGATTCAATAATAATCAGATCGAATTTAAATTTTATTCGAATCGAATTCAAATAATTTATGAGTATTAATATGTTATTTATATCCCTAATTGAGCCCATTATAAAGCATAAAACATGATGTATGCAGCCATTCAGAACATCTGTTGCAAGGGGATTGATTAAGAAGGGTTCTTGTAGCATTTATCGGATTTGAATTTTGAATGTACCGTTTTGAGTGGGAATTTAATTAAAATAAAATAAAAGTCTGGTATCAGTTCAATGGATTTGGGTCAAATAAATGTGTTTTTCAAAATAGGTGTAATTGAAACGATAGAATAGATGGGGGAATTTGTTCGAACCGTTTCAATTGAAACGGTTAGTTGGATTTAAATACAGGAAAGAAAGGGATTGGGACTCTACTTTTTTCAGGTAACTTGAAAAGATTTGTCAAGAGTAAAGTTCCAATATATCGATTTTATTTTAAAATTATGAAATATTATGATATTTTATGATATATTATAATAAATTATAAGAATAATATAATTAAAAAAACAGATTAATAAATAAACATTAAAAAAGAAATACATAACTTAATTTAATTTATTTAATAAAAAAAATGATACATTTTTTAATTTTATAATATTAATTTATTTTACAAAATCAACTTAATTAATTACATTTAATAGTATATTGATATACCTTTTTATTATTACATTTAGAATTATTAAAATTTTATTTGAGGATAAAACACTTTAAACTCACTTTATATCTAATAATATGAATTTTACAATTATTTTTATATTTTTATGTAAATATTTATTTTTTAATTAAATATTTATTTTTATTTATATTAATAATTTTTTTTATGTTTTTATGATTAAAAAATAATTTTTTATGTGGACAATTTAATTATTTACATTAAAATAATTTTTTTTTTATGTTTGTTCTTATATTTCATTACGTTTAGAATTATCATAACTATTTTTAATAGTGTTACAATAATTTTAATCAATTTTATACTAAATAATATTAATTTTATGACTATTTTCACATTTTTACGTTATGATACTTTTAATACATTTTACGTGAAATTATATCTATTTTATGACTATTTTCATATTTTTACGTTACGATACATTTAACACATTCTATGTTAAATTATATAAATTTTACAATTATTCTCACATTTTTACATTAATATTTATTTTTAGGTTTAGAAGTATAAAAAATTATAATAATAATTTTTTATGTTATTAATTTAATTATCTACATTACAATAAAATCAATTATATTTATTCTTATATTTTATTATATTTAAAATTATCACAATTTTTTCTTAAGTATTGCTACACTTTAAATATATTTATGTCAAATTATACCAATTTTACGATTATTTTCATATTTTTACTTTAACACTTTTTTATTTAGAATTATTTTTATTTATAATACTAATTTTTTTGACGTTACAAATTTATTATATTTCATTAATATCTTTTTATGTTTGATGTTATTTTTATTATTTTTAAAATTATTACAATTTTTTTTATTAAGGTGCAACGATACTTATAACTAATTTATGTAAAATAATATCAATTTTATAATTATTCTCACTGTTTTATATTAACTCTTATTTCTTTAGAATTATTTTTTATTTGTAATAATATTTTTTTACATTGTCAATTTAATTATTTACATTATAATAATATCTTTTTATGATTG